GCTAAAAGCGCGCATAGGACTCCACATGCGAAATACTTATAAGCATCATTCTTGTCTAGAGAACATAAGCGAGGATTCCCACTCGGCAGTGCTAAAATTTCTGAGGTCGTTAAGGTAATGGTTAATGGTTCCAAATCAAACCAAGTGTATTAGACACCAAAAGTATAGTAATGAAAAGGGTAAAGATGTGTGATAGCTGATGATTAAAATGTGGTACACGTCGGAAGACGTTCTGAAGTTTAAGACAGAATGGTACTAAATGGGGTAAAGGGGGTGAGGGTAGAGAGAGTGAGTAAATGGGTTAAAGTAGGGATTAGCAAAAGGGTGATTAGATTAAAATTGTCAAAATAAAAAGTGTGGGATTCCAAGGATGTTCATGGGGTAAGACTGTGATTAGCAAAAGAGGAAAGGTTGGTTTAAAGAGTAGTTTCAGGAGAAATGTCAGATGGAGAGAATCCAGGGAAGGGTATTGTTGTGACGAATGAGGAACCAGCATGGATAACAGGGAAGGAAGGGGGTCGTGTCTTGGGAAGGAGAGGGTAGAAAGGGTGTAGGAGGAATATGAGTAGAAAAAAGGATGGATGTCGTGTGGAGGGAATGGGAGTAAAAAAAACTGAAGGATGGATGAGGTATAGCTATGTCATTTTGGGTCATGGTTTGATAGTTTTGAATATCATTAAGAGTTTCTGATATGGAATTGGTTGGGGATGTCTGAGAAATTAAGAGAGAAGGAAGAGGAGACAGATGTTCGAGGGGCAGAGGTAGAAGTAGATGTAGGAGAGTACGTGGTAGGAACAAAGAGGAAGAGGGGTAGGTACCGGGGAAATAAGAGATTGTAGATTGTAGAATGTCAAAAGAATTTGACTGGAAGAGGGAGGGGGTAGAAGTTGGAATGTAAGGAGTAAGAGGAAAAGATATTGGGGGAGATGTAGAAACATCTTGGTGAGAAAGGGGAAGGGTGGAGGGAAGGACAGCAATAGATTTGGGAGCAAGAAAAAAACCTTGTCACTGTGTTTCTTGTTGGTACAAGTGTATGATTGCACAGGGTAGTTTGGACGATCTCGGCTAGGTTGGGCATATATAGGGCAGCAGGCTGTGGAGCGACAGTGCTTAGCAGGCTGGTCAAAACACCATTTCTAACATTGACAGGGCCAGGGTGCATTCTGTGTAAATTTCACGCCAGAGGTACGCCAATAGCTCATCGAGTGTACGCCGACGTTCCCGATAATAATAATTTTTCATAAAGTATGACGCCAAGTTATATCCAAGTAAATTGTTGATGGCAGCACACACTTTTTAATAAGAATCGTGAATTTGGCAATCACATTGTCTCAAAAACTCCAAAACACGGCGGCACTTTGGAAAACTATGGACGTGATAAAAACAGCCGCAAGGAGTGTAGGGGGGGGAGGCATTGTAAAGGAATAAAACAAAAGACTATGTGTAAGTGCATTGCGTTCAACTTAAAAGCTTGAAAAAGCAGTAAAGATAAGCATGCGCCGATATTTTTCCATTTCATTACGCCAATACGCCAAGGAATATAATTTAGGCTATACCCACGCCGCCACGCCGACAGGAAAGCTAACTCCACACCGGAGATCTTTGGGCCTAAGTGCATGAAATGCACCCTGGTGACAGGGGAGGGGTACATATGGTTGGACAAGGGAGGGATCTCCACCAATATAATAGGGGAGGTTATGCCTATGAAAGGTAGTTTTGGGCAATAATGGTGTAGGACTTTTGACAGCCCTTGGCAGGAATAGTGAAGCATTATAATGACACAGCATCATAGTCAGTGAGGCAGGCAAGCAAGTCGTTTTCACAGTCTGACCAATCCTTGTCATGGACAGGGTAGTAAGCAGGGGAGATAGAAACTGAGAAGAGTAAGGCTGAGCAGGAATAGGTATACCAGTGAGGTCAGTTATGGTAAATAATGTTTGGATCTCAGATGTAACTGTGACAATCAGAACGGCTACAGAAAGAAAGTTAGTCTACTTGTTTTTGGAATAGGACAGTATTGAAGTTAGTACTCACAAAATTTGTAAAGCTGGAAGTAGCTGAAGGGCTAGGACAGGAAGAGGAGCGAATGGTGTCAACTGGGGTAGTCATACAGGGAGGTGGACAACAAGGGAGCAGAGTAGTAATAAGGGTGGAAGGGGTTGAAAATGAAGAAAATGTGGAGGATGAGATGGAGTGGAGGGTGTTGGGAGAAAGGAAGAAATGTTTTCTGAAGTTTGGATAATGACCTGAGTAGGTCAGTGCCTTTTAAGGGTGAAATGCTGAACACAGCCCCTCAAGGGATAAACTCTTTCAGTATTTCTTTGTTAACAATTATTCAAGCAGAAGTGTGTAGGAAATACTATAGCTGGGCAGCTCTGGGTTTTGTTAGCCACATTGGCATACATACAAGTATGTAGACAGACTAGTGCAGATCGGGAGTTTTCATACATTTTGCTTAATGCTTTTTATTGACATTCTGCATTCTCAGAGATGCTACTCCCTGATTTCAAATATCAACTACATGATCTAGAGTTCTGTTTTACTTATGCAGGTAAAGTCTTTGCTCTCAAAGTGTTTGTGGCTGATATTTCTATTCAATCCCAATATTTAATAACTACAGTATACTTTTAAGGTACATGTAATTCTTGGTTCCCCTACAAAAGAAAATGCAGCACATAAGTATGCAAAATATATGATCAACTGACTTTAAATGATCAGAAAAAACACATTCATCAGAACCCTGGTCATAATCATTCTTTTACAATGCCAATATCTTCTTCATAATTTCTATTTATTGAACTTTTTGTTTGTTTCTATCTGAAGCATGTTTCATAAATATTATTATCCACATTTTCCAGGAATCACATTTATTCTTTGAACTTTTGAACATCTGTTTTTTGAACTTTAGAACAAATACACTCTTAAGCTTTATTATTAATAGCAACCACTGATTTTTCAGTTGTATAAGTGTGAGGTAAAATATCAGTATTCTCTAAATACTGAAGATCGCTTTTCCCAAAGGAATAGCCAAAAGCTTTTTGGGTGCACCGTGAGCCTTTCCTCTCTTGCAGCCATATCACTGGTAGCAATGACATGTCATCTAGATGGAACAGTAAGATGATTTAAAACTTACTCGAAATTTTTTGTGTCGGTGAAACTGATAATTGCACAATTCACAAGCTGGAGCTTTTTTGGATCGTTTCACTTCTAACCATTTCTGAAAAAATAAGTCACGCATGATTAGAAATACTTTTCCCACAACTGCAGTAATATAATACACTACTTTGATCATCACTGAGACTATACTAAACTGTATCAAATGATCTTGAAAAAACTATGTGTTTACTTACATTAAGGCAGCCTTGGTGGATGAACTGCATGGTTCCTGCACATCTACATGGAGAAATGAGCAAATCTAACCCTTCTCCTTGCGGATGATGGCATATGCGGCACATTGGCATGGATGCTGTTGATGATGATGCTGATAACACTCCTAAAGAAAACAAAATGATAGTCATTTTTAAGGAAGCACTTCCTGTTTGCAAGTTTGGGTGCAGTGATATTTTTTTCTGTTCATGAAGGCTCAGACTTTGAGATAGTTTTGTAGACCCACCAATATTTATGTCCCTTGACTTTATGGTAATTCTCAAAAAAACTATCGAGTCATCAAGGGGAGCACAGAGTCCCCCTTGATGTTAAAAATGTTGTGCAGAATGTACAGCATTCTTAAATGTGAATGCCTCTTATCAATATATTTGATAATTCTACTGTTACTCTTCATTTAGTCAGACCACATAATTCATCAACAATATGAGATTTTGCAAAAATGGAAAAACTAATTTACATCCCAGTGTAAACAGATAATGCTGATATCTATCAAATCTCAAACTATAAAGTAACAAGCTTGCGAAGGAGAAATCATGACATATTAGCGTCTGTTGGCATTACACAACGGTTTCTGTGGCATTAGTAATGATTAAAACAAATACCTGTGCTAGACATAGGTCATATATCACTATGATAATGTATTGTGACAAAAGAGGTAAACTATTGTGGCAAAAGGCGTAAAAATAATGATTTGGAAAAATGTGTAAAAGGTCGTAGAACACTGTACGGTAGTATGGTAGTAAAAAAAGGTAAAGACGGGTATCAAATGGAGTATGGCGGGTATTAGAAAAAGGATCAAAGGATCAAGGGCAAAGGGCTAGTAGATGAAATGTAGAGTATCTATGCATCTAAGGAAGGACGAGGAACAGTGCAAAAGAGCCATCATGAAACAATCAACGGGTAATGTGGGTAGACATGGGTGTCACAGAAGTGAGAGAAGATACCATAGAATGAGACAAGGGATGGGTGTGACATACAGGAAGAACGTCAGGAGGGGAAGGACACTACTGTAACAGGAGTGATGGAAGAGAGTATGAGGAATTGGGGTAGGGGGAACATGAGGAGGAGGAGGATGGATGTCGGCAGTAACTTTGAATATGAGGGAATGGGAGTAGAGAACCTGGAAGGTGGAGAGGATAATTTTCAGGGAAGTTGGGTGGAGAGGTCTGAGAAGAGAAGATTTTCTTATGAGGAAGAGAAAAGGAATATCCTTAGACATCTTGGGAAGAAAGTAGAGGGCAGCGTTGGAAAAGGTAACAAGTGAAATACATCATCAGAGTACTTCCTGTCTAGCATCCTGTTAAGTGAAGCTAAGTTTGAATCTTCGAACAGCCATCTCTGAGTCAATTTTGTAGGCAGAGCAACTCCTATATAATACATTATGAGAGCCAACTATCTGCAGAGCAATTTAAATTATCTTGCCCAGGTTGGGCACAAAGAGAGTAGTGTGCTGTGGAGAAATGTTAACAAAATGTTAACATTTCTGACATTGACAAGGGTGGGGCCACTATGGTCAGACAAGGCACTACTCTTCACCAACATAAACTTCTTGGGGGAGGTCATGTCTATGGGGTCATGTCTATGGAGGGTACTCTTAGCAATTTTGATATAGG